CACCTTCCTGGCCTCAAACCTAAGGAACAGGTTGACAGGATGGTTTGCAAAGAGATTGGACAACTCTATCATTCTATCTTGTTCCACTGGCCAAATTTTAATCTGTGCCTTATGGCTGGGAATTTCTCCACCATTCCCTGAATCTGACCTGTATTCCCACTCTGGAAAGATCATTCTTCAATGCAATGAAGGTTCTGTCATCATGTTTTATGTTGTTCTCAGCTACATGGGTTTCCTAGCTGCCATTTGTTTCGTGATAGCTTTCCTGGCCAGAAAATTGCCTGGGGTCTTCAAAGAAGCCAAGCTTATCACAATCAGCATGCTGGTCTTCTGCAGTGTTTGGATCTTCTTTGTGCCCATTTACCTGTCCACTAAAGGAAAGCCCATGGTGGTCGTGCAAGTCTTCTCCATCTTGGCCTCAAGTGCTGGTCTGCTGATCTGCATCTTCTTCCCCAAGTGCTACATCATCATCCTGAGACCAGATCTAAACACTAAGGAACATCTAATGATAAAAATGGGGATATGATCGTGAAATTGTTTCTTAGGCTCATATCATGTAATTTTTCATTGCAGTTATTATTGTGTTTCTTTGCTTGTTTGCATCTGTTTCATAATAAAGTTTACCTAAAATGGAACGATCTAAAAATGAAGAGTATAAGACTGTTCAAATTAAAAACCAGGATAACCTTCAAACAATAAAAAAATGAATTAATAATTTTCATGCAATCATGGAAGGACTAAAAAAGAAATGCTATCCAAATCCACATACACCAGATGCAAAAGGGATAAGACAATAGAATAGAATAACAGAGTTAGAAGGGACCTTGGAGGCCTTCTAGTCCAACCTTCTAGTTTAGCAGGGACTAGAAGATCTCTGAGGTCCCTTCCAGCCTTATGATATCATGGTCTATGTTGTATGATAAAGAGAACCAGCTCATGATATTCTGATCCCTCATGTAAATGTACATTGTGTTCAAGTTATAATGACAACATCATGTGCAGGTCAGTATTAGGATACTTCGTGCTGTTATTCTTCCATGGACCAACTAAGGAGACTCAAAGGTTTGGCTCAAATTTTCTTTTCAAATACTTTCAGAGATAGCTTGAATTACATATCAAGCATCCATCAATCCTAAGAAGGTTACCCAATTAAATCAGAATTACTACTATAACTGTTAGGGTTCTGGGTAACACACCCATAGCAATCCAATCAATCAGCTGCTCAGCTTCAGGGGTGACAATAACACTTTCTTAGTAAAGGATCTAAGTGGTGGTACTAACAATGGACTCTGGCCTTCTGGAAAAGTCTTGCTTGAAACCAATTCTCCGGGTTTCTCAAGAATAAAATATTCATTCCATTTCATTCTGGATTCTAAAACTCACCTCATATCTCCCTGGCCCAGAAATTTTAATGGGTTTAAAAATAAACTACATAGAGGATTTCTTTCAGTTTCAAGCTACAAGATTGTCCTTTAAATGTGGAGCTGGTGATAACTCAGTTAGTAGTACAGATGGTTCATATTGAGTCCGGACTGACGGGAATCTGAGTGTTACCAGCAACAAAATATTGTAATAACCAAACACAGCAACTAAGTAACAACTCTGCAGGCATCCTCTCATCTAGGAAAGAACTGACCACTAGGACAATATCACCAGATAATAANTAAGCAGGGCCATAAAGATGAGGCTATAAACAACACCAGAATGTTTCCTTCCTGCCTTCCTTACAAGATTAGCCCTGTAAGGTGGAAGGAAACAAAAGGAGATTTCTTCCAACAACTGATTCTCCGAACTGCTTAGAAAGTTACCAACAAGTTCTCCCGAATAGGTGCGAACTGGCTGAATCCCACCACTGCTCTATATGTATCCTCTTTTTATTTTACTTGTCATTTGCTCTTTAGTAAGGGATGATGCAAATAGACCCTGACTTATGACCAATCATTTAGTGGCCATTTGAGGAGTGGTGCAGGGGCCTAGAGGTGAAGCTCTTGCCTCACAACCAGGAGGGTGTGAGTTCAATCCTAGGTAGAGGCAGACAGTTCTTTCCCTGGGCACAATGAGAATACATCTGCTCTGAAACAACTCTCCCTTGGTGACAGGAAGGGCATCTGGCCAATAAAACACTTTGCTAGCTTCATTCAGTTGCCCAGGCTCCACCTCGCAAGGGATTATGGGGTCATTAAAAGATGATGATTCAGTGACTATGTGAGCAGGGGGCTGGACTGCAAGGTCTTTTCCAGCTCTCTTCAGATTGTTTGATGTGGTAGAGCATGTGAAAATTAAAGGCCAAAGGGATATCGGTGGTTTTGAGGCTGTGACTCCAACAGAGGCCAAGAATCACATCCGAGCTCTCTGTCCAGTGCAAGGAATAGCTAAGATATTGTGTAGAAGCCTCACACATCCACTTAGAGGTAGACCCAGTAGGTAGAAGAGTTGAGATTTAGGAAGACACTGTTCTGACCCAGCTCCCCAAACACCACAAACCCTCTGAAGTGAAGTCAAAGATTCCTTTAATTATGAGTGTTGGAAAAAAAGTCTCTCTCTCACCGTCCGTCTGGGAGATGAATAGTTGTCTACCACACCTATTCATCTCTCCCCCGCTTGTCTTTTATCCCCAGAGCTAAGATGGGGATTCTCTAGCAGTTGTGGCTCTTCCGTCCCAAGGACCGGCCCATAGATTTCCACTGCTCTCCTCTCCTCTGCCTTCTGTGCATCCACACGTCAGACACTGGACCTATTTCTTCCTCCTCTTCCTCATCAGCCACCTCCAATCCTGGGGGCTGTTGACTCTCCATCTAAGGCCTGACAGACAGCCCAGGCTCCACATCTCTCTCTCTCTCTCTCTCTCTCTCTCTC